TACCGCATTGCCGACGGGTACTTGCTCCTCCACTCGAGAGGCAAGGACTTACTATGTGTCCCACGCGACCGTCGTCTTCGGAGTCGCCTCCTCGGCGAGTATCATGATTCACGACTCGCCGGCCATTTCGGAGTCAACCGCACTATTGCACGGCTTCGACAGCGATTCCGATGGCCCGACCTCATTACCGATGTCACTCGGTATTGCGACTCTTGCGAAGTTTGCCGACGCAGCAAGCCCCGCAACCGCAATCCCTACGGCGAGTTACGCCCGATGCCTATCCCACGGGAAGCTGGTCTCTCCATTGCCATGGACGTCACCGGTCCGTTTCCTCGTGACCGGCTCGGGTACGACGGCATCCTCACGGTTGTGGACTGATTGAGTAAGTACGCGCGTTTTCTCCCTTGCAAGTACTACTCCACGGCTCCCGAGCTGGCACGCCTCCTGCACACTGGTTGGATTTGTGGCCACGGTGTACCAGAAGACATTGTCAGCGACCGCGACACTCGTTTCATGTCGGTGTTTTGGACTGCTCTCATGCAGGAGTCCGACACAACAATGAAACCAAGTTCGGCTCGACATCCTCAGACAGACGGGCATACGGAGCGGGCACATCAAACCGCTCAAATGATGCTTCGTACGCTCATCCGTCCGGACCAGAAAGATTGGGTTGACCGCCTCCCCGACATCGAGTTTGCCTACAACACTTCGGTGCATCCGGCGATCGGCGTGACTCCATTCGAGTTGCACCACGGTGGACGGAAAGGACGGATCTTCGCCGACCTTCTCCTCCCTCGACCAGTTGACATTGACGCTGCCTGCTCTCCCGCTTCCGTCCGGAAGTACAGGGAATTGCTGACTCAAGCCCGCGCAAATATGCAAAAGTCTCAAGTCCGCATGAAGCAGCAAGTCAACAGGCGTCGCGTACCATGTCCCATCCGCGCCGGTGATCTGGTTTGGGTCTCCGCGGAAGAGTTTGCACTGGAACAGGATGTTTCACGCAAACTGCTTCCCAAGTGGTTTGGACCTTGGTCTGTGACAGCAGCCGCGGGCGATGAGCCCGATGGCCCTTCATTTGTGATCAACATTCCAGAGCATCTGACGGTCCATCCGGTCTTCCACGCCTCGAAGCTGGCAACATACACGCCAGTCGAGAGCGACGACTTTCCGGACCGACGATCGCAGGACCCTCCTTCTATGGATGGCCATCAGGAAGGTGACCGCGTCATCTCCGATCGCAAGTACGGCAGCAAGCCGCAGCAGTACAAAGTCACATTCAAAGCATGCGATCGCGACGACACTCGGTGGATTTCAGGCGCAGATTTGAAAGCATCCGCACCGCTGATCTACGCGCATTATGAAAAGCGCAGGTTAGCTCAGGAAGCTTCACGACCAGCCCCTCCCACCCGGAATGTGGTCCCTCCCTCAGACAGACAGCTTCGCCCTCGCAGGTAAGCTCGGTTCTTCAAGGAGGGGGGGGTGTGGCATACTGCGTAGCGTGGCCCTGCAGGGCCCGTCCCGGACATTCAGCCTAAAAGCCTAAAACTTAGGGCTTACAGGCCCCGTTTGTTTCAGCCTGGATGCTGAAAAACGAGGGCCTGCAGGCCCTACCCCATTTCAGCCTATTTCTGGGTCTTTTCAGACCCAGAGTTTTCAGCCTGAAACGGAGGGCCATTTTCAGGCCCTCATTGTTTCGACCTGCCCCTAAGACTCAGGCACGGAAACAGGGATGCGGAACAGGCCCAAAATAGCCTGTTCCTCTCGTGCTCGAGCAGGAGCTGCAGCTGCAGCCCCTGCCTCACTTCGGCAGGCTCAGGAGGCACACCCGTAGTACATAGGAAGTTCCCATGCACTTCACGGGTAGGTAGTTGTCAGTAGGCACGAGTAGTCTTCAGGATTCGGCCGCAGCACTCAGGAGGAGCGCTGCAGTAGTCTTCAGCGCTAGGCTGTAGTTAGCGCTAGCTGTAGTTTTCGGCGCTGGGCGCCATAGCTGTAGCTGTAGTCTTCAGCGCTGGGCGCTAGTAGGTGGTAGATCGTGGAGTGGGAGAGAGACTGGCGGAGGCCAGTGTTACTTACCTGTGGCGCCAACGCTCCAACTCCATCTTCGTGGTACCTGCATCAAGGCGCCAACTTCACAGGTTAGTACTGGACACAAAGAGAGAGAGAGTTCGTCTTCTTCCTCTTCTAAGTCCACCTTCTCTTCTCACCCTCTCGCCACCTGACTTCTCAGACTACGACAGAGAGAGACAGAGTTGTGACTTGAGACTTGACGACATTGGATCCAGACTTGACATTTGGGATTCAGACATTTCGAC